AATTCAATCAGAGTTCCCATTACCCAAGTTTGGATTTTACTTGGTATCAAGTTTAGTAAATTGGGAATTTTTTGGTATAAACAAATTCAATCAGAGTTCCCATTACCCAAGTTTGGATTTTACTTGGTATCAAGTTTAGTAAATTGGGAATTTTTTGGTATAAACAAATTCAATCAGAGTTCCCATTACCCAAGTTTGGATTTTACTTGGTATCAAGTTTAGTAAATTGGGAATTTTTTGGTATAAACAAATTCAATCAGAGTTCCCATTACCCAAGTTTGGATTTTACTTGGTATCAAGTTTAGTAAATTGGGAATTTTTTGGTATAAACAAATTCAATCAGAGTTCCCATTACCCAAGTTTGGATTTTACTTGGTATCAAGTTTAGTAAATTGGGAATTTTTTGGTATAAACAAATTCAATCAGAGTTCCCATTACCCAAGTTTGGATTTTACTTGGTATCAAGTTTAGTAAATTGGGAATTTTTTGGTATAAACAAATTCAATCAGAGTTCCCATTACCCAAGTTTGGATTTTACTTGGTATCAAGTTTAGTAAATTGGGAATTTTTTGGTATAAACAAATTCAATCAGAGTTCCCATTACCCAAGTTTGGATTTTACTTGGTATCAAGTTTAGTAAATTGGGAATTTTTTGGTATAAACAAATTCAATCAGAGTTCCCATTACCCAAGTTTGGATTTTACTTGGTATCAAGTTTAGTAAATTGGGAATTTTTTGGTATAAACAAATTCAATCAGAGTTCCCATTAGCCAAGTTTGGATTTTACTTGGTATCAAGTTCACTTCACTAAAATATTAAAACATTACTCTTATTAGATGCTTTTAAAATATTAATTTCAGTTTGAAAAGCACTCCACTAAGAATTCATTACAAAGAATATCAACCTTATATATATACATTGAATTAATTAAAAGTGTCATTTAGCTGCCACAGTCCGTTTGTTAGCCATGAGCCATTAACCTTTTTTGTTATACAATCCCAGTCAACATAATGAGCAATGGAGCTCTCCTTGATGTACTTTTTACTCCCTACCCATCTTGGATGTTCTTTGAAGAAGTGCACTCCAACTTTCTTTTCATCTTTCTGTACAGAAATAATACGCCCTAACCACTCTTCATCATTTTCACCCTGAACTACCACCATATCATTTCTTTCTGGATAAAAAGGAACTGCTACAAACTGCTTGTGAGTTGGCAGTTTAGGGGCCTCAAAATCAATTAAGATGTACTCATGACTGTCTTGTGCAGGATATAAAATAACCTTTCTAAGCAAACAGGCACTATTAATCATCTTGATACTTGCAGATAAATGAAGACATTTACTTTCAGTTCCTTGGTAATACTTCTGAAGGCCACTGTCATTTATAGCCTGCTGATACAGCTGTGCTTCTAAATACAAAACAACATGTTCTCTTTCATTGACATCTTTGACTGTTATTGAATGTATTCTGTTGATTCTACCAACTTTTTCTTGATTACCATCCAAGGAAAACATTGCATTTTCTCCAACTCTGCAGTGGACATGAGGTCCAATTGGCTCTTTACCTGGTTTCAGGATACTCTTGCAGGACTTTGTTATATTTGACAGTTTTGAAATTTCAAATTGAATACTTTCATTATGGGTTACATCTTCCCACACGTCCTCTTGTTGCTGTTGGGTTATGTTGTGAAATCCACTTTTCTTGCTACATGAACCAACTGCAATGCCATTAATAGTATTAGGAAGGGCATGTAAAATAAGATAGTTGCCTTGTTTTAATGAAGAAACTTGTTTAGCCCATTTTGCTGTTTCTAACTCATCTTCAGTAAGAATTGGGCTGTCCTTTGCATGTCTACCAATATGTAGATTCTGAAGAACCTCTCTTCTTACTTCATTATTGCTGTATGTTTTCTCAATATTTTTGTGATTAGTAGACTGGTTCACATATCTCTTGACAGCTCTTTCAAGATCAAACACCCAAAAATTATCTGGAGCCGAGAAACGATAAATATCCTCGGTGACATGAAGCAAATTATGTTCCGTGATGACACATGCGGCTAGTCCAAATGTTTCTTCAGAAATTATATTGTGGCGCCAGGCTACTTTACCAAATAATTCAATGTCTTCATAGGTCCATCCAGTGTTGCGACAGCAGCTAAACACCATTTGAATCATTTGCACTAACAGTTTCCAACAAAGAAAGTCTTCGTCTGGTATTGCACCACTCAAAATTACTTCTGAGGCTGGGAAAGCAAATTTTTGGTAATCTTCAGCTTTCCAGTATCCTAGTCTTGATGTGAATCCAGTAGGGTAGCGAGATGCCTTCAATTCAGGGGTCCAGGGAAAAATAGAAAGTCTTGATTCTATTTCAGCAAAGTTTATATCCTTTCTTTGTAGTAAGCGTTGTAAATGCTTTTTTACTGGATTCATTGGCAACCCATGCATAAGATCAATGACAGTGTCATGTAATACATCAAATCCATATAGATAATACAGCACAGTCAGTTTACTTAAACCTGTAAAACCACTTTCTTTGGAAATTCTTTTCCATGCAGCCCCAGTCTCTTCCTCTGCTTCCTTCATATGATGAAGTGATTCTTCCATAGTTCTTCTAGGCCATTTATATCGTGCATGGTACCTACATCCTCCATAATAATAATGTGGTGAACCCTCTTCTGCTTGTTTTCCACATATATGACATCGGCGGCAAGCTTTCTTTCCTGTACGTTTAAATTTTGCAACTTCGCATTGACCTGGGTGGTCACCAGTCCAAAGCATAATAAGATGTCGGACAACAACTGTACCACTCTCTATGTTTAGGTCTGGAAAGTCAGCAGAATAGTTAACTTCAATGCCATTAATGAATCCTTCAACAATTTCATTGATAAGTGGGGTTAGAAATGGGTCTAAAAATCCTGGTGTATCATCTGGGGTCTTGGAACTGGGTACAAAACCCACTACATACACTTGATCTGTATGATTTCTTTTTCTTTTAGCAATATTTCCTATTTTGACATCTAATACCCCAGTACTATGACCACCTGTTGTCTCGAATGGAGTGAAACCATCCCAGTGGGCAATATAAACAATGTTTCTAGGATCTCCTTTAGTAAAAGTGGGTATATGTGTGAATATTTTCCTGCATTGGTGACAAATTATTTTAACTGATGAACCATTATCAAAACCATCACACGCAGCGATCATTTCTGCTGAAATAACAGTATTTATCTGACAGTCTTTGCAGTATGGGCAAAGTGTTGGTAACAGATACCTTTTTGTTGCATCAAAAAACCATGAGTACTCTGAAAATCGTGTCCCATCCCAAAGTTCTTTCTTTATAGGCCATCCTCTTGTTTCCCCTCTAGCACAACTGTAATACCAGTGTTCTTTTTCTCGCCAGTGATCGAGCATATTACTACACATTTCCTTATTGCTAAACCATCTCTTTATTTTTTGGGTTAAACCCAAATAATAGTAATCTATGTCACCAGGTTGTCCACAATACCTGCATTTATCTGAAGGGTGCTCCATGATGTCCCATTCCCTGTGATGCTCATCATCATTCATGCATATGTAGTAATGTTTGGGTGACTCATAGCCAACTCTCCTCAAGATATCTTCAGTTTCAGTCCAAGAGGTTGGCCATATATCTTTTAGTTCTTGGTCAGTTATCACAAAGTCTTTGGCCCATCTAAGCCAGTCTTCAAAGGATTTAATAGAATCACCTTGTGATTGTTTCATGGGCAAAGCATTTAGAATTGCATCAACAACCTTTGTGTCCCAGTTTTGTTTGTCTGTCTGAACAAACCTATCACATGAAACATCTAAAGATGTGTCTGACTCCTGATCATTTTCTCTGTTAGTGTTAACATAATCGACTTCCCACTCCACGTCGTCCCCTGTTAAAAAAAATACTTTGCTGAATAGACAACTCAAACAAGATAAAGTATAAGTCGATTTAAGTTAAGTCTATAATATTTAAATCACAACTTTTACCATTAAAAAGACAATGTTTTTTAAGCAGCTTCACGAAAAGCTATAAAGGACTTTTAACTAAGCGTTGACTCGAGCTTTCCCGATGCAAACTAAAGATGGTGAATAAAATAAGGCTTTAATTAAGCTTACCAATGCTCGCCGATATACTGGTATCTGCTGTTGATTCATTCTCGGAGTTGAAGTGTGTTTCGTTTTCGCTCTGGGTAAGCAACGGTTGTTGGTCTGCTTTCTGATGATGATGGTAAGTTGATCTAGAAACTGCTTTTCCCTCACATCCATAAATCGAGCAAAAACAGTGTGCATGAAGATACGATCTTTCATTGCACCGACAAGAAGTTGTTCTTGGCATCAAAAAGCAATCCGGCTATATAGTACACCTTGATTCCTTGAAGTGTTGAATGGCTCTTTGGAGAACGGCGGTTCGGACATCTAGCAGACTATCAGGCCATATGTTTTGAAGTCGAATAGGAGAGTAAATCGAGAGTAAAAGAGATCATTTTATGTGTTATTTGAAGCCATGTGCGCTCGGGATTCCTGTGGTGCTCAAATCCGCTGACCGGACATACCGGATACTCATAGTTTGTTCACCATGGACGACAACAATGCGGATGATATGCATGTGTGGGTTCGAGTTGATTTTATTTGCGGTCACTTCGATGCATGGAGGGTCGACTTCGAAACTTGGCCTGATAATTTGCTAGATTTTCGAACCGCCGTAGTCCAAAGAGCTATTCAACACTTCAAAGAATCACGATGTACCTTCATCGTGAATGAGTTAGATAACATTATGGCAGCTGAGTACGGCGATATCGTCTGTTTTTTTCTTGAAAAGTGCAAATTGTACCTCAATTGTAGTTTCGGTAAAAATACAACGGATGCGATAGAAATAAATGAACTTGGTCTTGTAAAAAATGACGATGACATTTTTTTGATTTACGGTGACTGGAAGCTATTTTATGAACAGTATTGTGACACAGAAAGTATATATTCAGATTCCCATGACGGAGAAGATTCAATATGGGAAGGATGGCTCTTGCAAGGTAAACTATTTGTTATTATTTTCAGTTATTTTCAATTTAAAAAATGCTTTTTAGGCTTAAATTTTTAGGCTTAAATTTATTTACATATTCTTCCCGCCTTTCTTGAAACGACAATTATTATTGGCTTATTGATTTCCCGCCTTGAGAAAGTACGGATATTCTGATTGGTTAAATCGTTACCCTGGATTGTGCGAGGTGGGTATCTTGGCGGCATTTTGAGTGGAAAGAGTTGGAGAGTAGATAAAATGTCCTCGGGTAGTAAAAAGAATGCATCTCTGCCTCAAGATAATGCCAGTGAAAATGAAAATCTTCCAAAGGAAGTAAGAGGTAAAGCAAAGAAACACGTTATGAGTAATTATGAAATGTTTTCTTTGTCGAAAACACTGCTTTATACTTGAATGAACATTGGCACCTCAGTCATGCACTTGTTTGACAGTCCATCCAAGATTCAAGACTAAGTGGATGTTTTTGTCTCTCAGTAATCATAAGCTTGTGATTTATCTTTAGAATGGGATACAGGTGACGTTGTTCAATGGCTTCACTCCAAAGGCATTGAAGAACAAATCAAGAAAGGTTTCAAAGGTAAAGTTCTTTTACAGTAATCTTGAACTCGTCGTCGATCACCAATGAAATTACGGTAGCCAATTTTAAATTTTTGGGTCAGTTATATCTCTCATTTCTAAATATTGACTCAGATCAGAAAATTGATGGTCTATGCCTCATGGAAGGGTTAACTGATGCGGAGCTTCACAGTTGTAATGTTATTACTGTGGGAGAGAAAAGAGGGATAAAGCGACAAATTGCAGCATTAGTAGGTAAGCGTAACTAGATTTGATTTCCTTTATCTTACATTATATTGAGTTTTATCATATAATTATCTATATAATACCTATATTCTAAGTTGTTATTTCCACTAGTGAAAATATCTCTAGTATAATATATTTATTGTAGGCGAATAAAAGTTAATAAATGATAAACAGAATATTTATGTTCCCGGTTATGCTCTCTTGGAGATACAAACAAGTGTTGAAATCCCTCATGAGAGATTTGATTTAATTTAAAATGTATGCCCCACCCTCCTGTGATTATCATACCCAAATGAAAGGTACTTTAATTTAATGTTTCACTGTTGTACTAGTTTGTTTTATTTAACATTTAAAGTACAGAGAGTTACTATACCACAGGTAGTAGTACTGTAATTATAATCAATTCTCTAAATAGGAAATGTCAGATCTGTGAAGGTTCCAAAGATGGCAGTAAAGCCAAAAGCCCTAAATGTAGAAGAAAAACAAGATTTGCTAATGAGGTATGTATAAGCAACCAAATACTGTTAGTAGTTTTAATATGATGTTCACAGCTTCTTCTTTGTTTATTTTTGTAGAAGGCGAAAGGTACACCGTAAGATTGTTGATGCATTTCCAGGAAACCAAATTCCAATATTCAGAGGCAATGCAAGTGCTATGCGTAGGTTTGAGGATGCTATTGGTGCTTGCAAGCACTTACTCAATGATGCCATTGGTTATGATGAAGGTAAAATGTTTACAATTTCTCAATTTTCATTATTTTTGTTATCTCACAATTACAATATTGCTCACTTAAAACCTTATTTATTCATGAAATTAATAAATTTATTGTGACCATTTTGGGTTAGGATGTATTTTGAAAAAGGCATGTTAAAGTCAAAAACATTAAATCATTGCTTTGTTGTCACAGAGGAACTGAGAAGACATGCAAAGGCAATATTGGATGAGCGTCGACGCATGGTGAAACATGGTTATGATTATGAGGTATAAAATTATATCCATGAAATGATTACTAAATTCAATCATGCACAAAAAACGTCTGTGATGTTTTCAGTTAATATATCTACACATAATAATAATTATGGTTTGTTCACTTCAACCTTAAAATGTGCAAATTGAATGTTTGAAAATGACACTTAAAAGTAATTAATAAATGTGTTTATTTTGTGTAGGACCAAGGGACCTCTAGTACAGATAATGATGTTGAAGTTCAAGAGAATGTATCAAGTAAACCGATCAGTGTAAAAGATAGTTCTGAGGATAAGGATGACTCTGAAGATGACAGTAGTGAGGATCAAAGTGAAGACGAAAACAAATCATTACCCACAAGCTTACCAGGTAAAGATCTTGCTTATGATTTGCATTATAGGAAATTGCGCAACCATGCGTGCAATTTTTCATTAATAGTAACGAGTAATGTTTTGAAAGTTTGTCATAATTGTGTGAGCCCTATCAAGTAGAGTGCACGTCACATAAGCATGAAACAATCCTTAACTATAATTAGCGTCTAATAAGATTTAGTTATCAACTAACTAAGAATTCACTGGGACATGGACTCAATGCCAGAATGGAAAGTTGTCTTTGTGTATGCCTCACTAAATTCTTAGTTAGTTGATAACTAAATCTTAATTTGCTACGAATTGTTTCATGCTTATGTGACGTGCACTCTATGAACCTACCTCTAAATGGCCGTTACTAAATGTACACATCTAATAGCAGCTAGGCTTTAGAAATAGGATGAGTCATTTTAGTAAGACTTGAACCCCATTCTTCATTATAATTGACTACGACTAAGTACATGTATATAGAGTCATTCATTGTCGACAGGAAACTACTCTTCTGTTAAACTAATATGTAATGAAATTGAATTTCAGGTGGAGTTGACAACGTACCATTGTCCACAGCAGAAACAATCCTACTTTCTTATTTCAAGAAAGCTTATACAAAGGAAATAAAGAAAGACGTTCACTTGGTTCCACTTTGCCATAAATTAAAAATCAAAAACGCAAAGGCAAAGGACAAGAATGATTTAATCATTGTATTAGCCAAAGAACTACTAACACAACAAATTGTTATCTTAAAAAAGGATGCAAATTTCTTTTTTCTGCATAAAGATTCTATTTGTGTCACCAAAACCTTTGATTGAAACAAGTACTGATATACAAGTTGTTTATATTAATATTATTTTATACACATGAACAGTCCAAGTCATGCAACAATTGTTCTTTTGTAGTTTGTTTAAAAACTAAAACTAAAACAGCAGGGAAAGTGAATTGTTTTAAGTTAAATACATGGAAGATTACAGTTTCATGGAATGTACCAAATAAAATACACTTTGGTAAAATTTTGGTAGTTCTACTGGTTTTATGTTGGTTTGCCAACAGTATACCAATATTATACCAACTTCTAGAACTGGTATKTTTTTGGTAAAATTTGACTAGATTGGTAAAATGTTGGTAGTTTTACTARTWTACCAACTGTATACCAATATTATACCAACTTCTAGAACTGGTATGTTTTTGGTAAAATTTGACTAGATTGGTAAAATGTTGGTAGTTTTACTAGTTTACCAACTGTATACCAATATTATACCAACTTCTAGAACTGGTATGTTTTTGGTAAAATTTGACTAGATTGGTAAAATGTTGGTAGTTTTACTAGTTTACCAACTGTATACCAATATTATACCAACTTCTAGAACTGGTATGTTTTTGGTAAAATTTGACTAGATTGGTAAAATGTTGGTAGTTTTACTAGTTTACCAACTGTATACCAATATTATACCAACTTCTAGAACTGGTATGTTTTTGGTAAAATTTGACTAGATTGGTAAAATGTTGGTAGTTTTACTAGTTTACCAACTGTATACCAATATTATACCAACTTCTAGAACTGGTATGTTTTTGGTAAAATTTGACTAGATTGGTAAAATGTTGGTAGTTTTACTAGTTTACCAACTGTATACCAATATTATACCAAGACCTATACTGGTAAAATAATTACCGAAAAGTTGGTATTTTATTGGTTTTGGCATTACCAAACTCGACTTCAAATTGGCAGAATCTTGGTAAGATATCTATTTACCAAGAAAATTCTAACTTGGTATTTAATTGGTGTGCTCGATTTTACCAAGTTCGTTATTTTATTGGTAAATCGTCGATTTCCCAACTAATTACCAAAGACATTCCAAATTTGGGATTTGGTGATTTTTTCCTGTGTTTATGGTGGTCCGACTTGAAAAAGAAAAAAGCCAAAAAATTACGCTCAAAGCTGGCATATTTGTCAAAAAYTTGGAATAGTTCCTTGTGCAAATATAAATTGTTATAGTTATAGAGCTGTCTTCTCATCGCCATGTAAAGATTAACGTACGACGTCACACTCCGACCTCTGAGACCTCGAAAAGAACCGTTGCGCTGTGAGTCCTGTGAGGAGCTAGTCGTAGACAAACCAGTACTGCTAGAGCATTGACGTCTTTGTCACATCATCATAAGAACGGATGTACACAGGCTATAAACAAGGAGCTGTTGTTTATCAACAAAGATCAGAATGACTTTTCACAAGTCGCTTTGTTCTAACATCCAATCGTCTTCTGGTTGAATACCAAACATGACTTACGTCACACGGAGTATCAGTATGACGTGACATCCGTTGGTTTGTAAACAAAACAACTTTTTGAGCGCGTTTTTCTTTTATAGAGTGAGTGATTGGTTATCAGTGGTACAAGGGATGATAACATAAACGGCTACCTTAGCYAATTAATTTACAGAAAAAAGGAACTGAACTACTATATCATTAATATTACAATATTGGAAACTTGAAATTGTTTTAAATGAATAAAAGGGTAAACGGTGATGAGTAAAACGTAACTAAGCTAACATTTCACCAAATCAACATCGAATGTAGTTAAGCTAGGTATATTAGTCTCCTATATTTGCAATATTTTCAACYAATTTCTCATACTTCAGCCCTAACTTACCGGACACTTCCAAAGCGTATCTTACACCGAAGATTMTGAAGTTTGAATTTAGCGCGCACTTTTCATTGGTTTGTGAGGTCTCATGACACGCTTGACTGTTGACGGTGTTGTTTCCGGCTTCAGGTTTCAACCGTTAAAGACAAAGATCRCGCTCTGTATATGGGAATTAGTTTGTTGCTCTAAGCCAATCACTTTTCCGCTGTGCACATGACAAGCACTCCGTGTAAACGTAACACAAAATCCCCCTCCCCTCCTCCCCTGGAGCMGCTACAAATACGTTGAGTCCAAAATCATGTATTGCTAAAAAATCATCATAGAATCCGGAATCCAACAACGTATTTTCCGTGTCACGGGTTTTTTATTCAAGGGATTTTTGGTACTCAACTGTCACGTGAAAGAGCACTATGCCCTCATGTGAAAGGTTGCGGTACACGAATGAATCTTGTGTTGGTCACGCTGAACCTTCCCCGTGACCCCAGTCCAATAGTCTGATAAAATCAAAAAAAAAAAAAATGATATACTTTGATGGTGCCTTTCGCTTGGTCGATTTTTGTGTTGGAAGACAGACAAAAGATGGGCGATGGCAGCATATGAGCTCGATTACATTTTATAAGTATCAGCAACCGTTCCCGGCAACAGTGAAAAAAAAAACCGTCTGAAAAAAATATTTTTCAGTAATAGGTGAATAAGGTATTAAAAAACTATATTTCAGTTAAAAAAGGAGAGAAAAAAATTTACTTCAACGTGCTCCAGGCGAGGATCGAACCCACGGTTCGTACTTCGAAACCACGAGTTCATAATCGAAAGAATTGATCCCGGGTAGCCTGTGGCGATATAAAAGGTACAGAAGTCTATTTTGACTATTATTTCAAGAATCCCCAAGTGCGCAAAATATATTATTATGCAGCAAATGCGATTATTTATAATATTATATAGTGTATATAAAGTGTATGGAGACTTAATTAGTGTATACTTTCAAGATGATAAAAAAATCATGGATGTGAATGTCTTTTTCGCTCATTATTATGTTATTAAATTATCAGTTTTTATGTATACACCTAATTACGAAACTTTGTCCTGACTAGAGTTTTAGAAATTTAAGAATAGAGTTGCTAGACAAAAGATGACCTCTGAAGCCGAAAACGTTCTTAGTGTAGCTTAATTAATTCATAATTTGCTGATGTTTGATAGAGTATAGAATTTGATATTACCAGTAGATTGCAGGTCTCCATTGCTGCATCCATTCCTAGCCCATCGACTATTGCCTTGTCGATCAATCAACGATGAAGATTTGAATTCATATTGTTGCATAATACGTACAATTGATTGCACTGTATGTGCATTGGCATCAGATGATTAGCTACTGCAATGTGCAGATATTTCCGGCAGAGATATAGCAAAATATGTGCACGTGGTTAGAGCATGATCATGCCAAGGTTACACCAATCACCAGAGCGGTACGAGATTGAAGGTCACAGTACGTATGCTTATTGTGACGTAATATCAAAAAGTCCTTCTATGTTATAGATATTAAAAAGGAGCGAGCCGAGATGGGCCTTGTGACGAGCACACGGAGCCCAAGCAATGACTTTGAACCTATAATAGTTAAAAATAAAATTTTACTTAAAAATAGTCTACTTTTATTTTATGCATTGTGACACTGAATAAAATAAAAGTAGACTATTTTTTAAGTAAAATTTAATCTTTAACTTTAGGGCCTCAAAGTCATTGCTTGGGCTCCCTGTGGTGACGAGGTTACTATAAGAATATTGCGGGGATTCCCCCCATCTTCTTGGTTTTTAGTGATGACGTAATCGGCCTTCCAAAACCGTCTTAGTGTCTAAATGTACTGCGAAAAGTCACTCTAAAATCATTCATATGAAGTTTCACACCATAAGCTTTTAATTTTGACTGAACTATGTCAAGCGTACTAATAATTTTAAAGTCATGATCAATGATACGAATATTATGATGTATTTACACATATTACAGACCTTGTTACTTATATATACACCTGATTCCTACAAAAATACGCCTCGTCATTCGATAATCATGCACGCTAATTTCTTCAATTGTGATATGAAAGTTTAATTTTAAAATATTTTAAGCTCGTGTACTGGTTCAAGAATCGAAATTATGCTAGTAACTTCGGATCGAACAGTAGGTAACATCCGCATTGTCATTATAGTTATATATGTCTCCAGAGAATTTAGCTAAAAATGGATGTGTTTTCATATTTTTTTCGTTTAAGTTGAAGAACTAGTGTAATTTTCTTTTGTACAATTTTCCATGGAATAAGTGCAGTTACTCTAATATATTATCGCAGCCTATTCTGCTAAAATTTAATTACATCTATATTATCAGTTACCTTAGTAAGTGTCGATCTTCGATCAAGCGCTAGTTTGACGATATGACTCATCATTAGCAGACTTTTCAGTCTTNNNNTGTTATAAAAGGAAGATGCAACTTCCCAGTTAATGTTCCCAAACCGAACAGAAATGGTGGAAACTAGTTACTTCGTCGGAGTAAACAGTAAGAAATATCCAGAAATGTACTGTACTGATGACAATACGTAAGACCAAGGGCGCCAGGACAACCATAAMWGTTTTTGAATGATATTACGATTGTATTTGTTATAGCTTTGAGTATCGTAGAAATTCACTTATTTGTCAGATAAGTGAATTTCTACGATACTCAAAGCTATAACAAATACAATCGTAATATCATTCAAAAACTGTTATGGTTGTCCTGGCGCCCTTGGTAAGACTGTATGCAAGATGATTGGGATCCCTGGTTATGGGGAATAGCCGAGCCTAATATAGTGACCAAATATGGTAATCTTTGAATTGACTAAATATGGCACGATCCCAAAACGCAATGTGATACAAGGGATTTCCCAGTAGATCAATATATACAGCAATCCAATTCTAAAATACCTACCTGTCGATGTCTTAATTGTCCTCTCCATTTACACCCAATAATACAGTTAATACAGAACAAAATGAGAGTCTGTATCTCACGGTCCGCGAACTTGTCTCTGAATATCTACAGAAGAAGGCAAATAATGGTTAAGTGTGGAAAAAAAATCAAGCTCGCGAAAACCGGAGCGTGCAAACATTGTCTCTCTCGAAGGCTGGCTACCAGACTTCACGTAACTGTTTTCTGATTCAAAATCCCGAAACAGAAAGTTGGTCTGCGAAAAAGACAGGAAATCAATAAGCAAATATAGCACAAATATTTTTATTACCTTCGTTCTTGTCAGGATTTCGTCGCAGATTTTACATTTTATTTCGCCATTATGCTTGCTGCAACAACATATCAGAATGCGTGTATTAGAACGTATTAAAAAATGAGAACGATAATAATATCCTGTGCTAGATGTATCAGTGATGAGTAGTTCTGTCATCCATTTGGATGAAGTACACAGAAACATTAGTGCTTTCGAAGCTGTTATGAGGCTCGTTCCCAGGTCTTTCCCCCTAGAGACTTGGGAACAAGTATCATAAAGGCTGCAAGAGGAACTACGGAAACTCTAACGTTCAGCCAAAGTTTATGATAATAATATAGATTACAAGTACGCATGATCAAACGAGGTACACATACTTAAACTCTTCTTCCAAACAGTCAAGACAATAACGATGTCCACATTCTGTCTGGATCGCAGTCTTTAGGACGTTGCTGCAGATACCACAAAGATCTTTGCTGTGGATATTTCGACGATCTTCTTCACAGATTCGATAACCACCAGTAGTCATTAGAAGTGCTGAAAGAAGAAATAGTTCTAAAGGCGGCAGAAATTATAGCCTTAGCATATTCAAAAATTAAATTGGTCCTAAAGAGTGGAATAAATGGTTGGTGGCTTCATAGAAATAAGACTGAAAATATGACATCAAGTTTCCAGTACTATATCGTATTGCACTTTCGAAACAAAGTACAATCAACAATGTGGGTAAGAAAATAAACTTGATTGGTTAAACTACCGTCATTTTTGGAGATCTATAATCTCCGATTTCCCTTCTTGGTAAGTTGACATAAGGAAATAAAACTGAGATACAGAGAACGAAGCCTCTGGAACCAGGGTACAGTACAATCGAAGCCAACAGTCAAGTTAAACACTACTTCTTAAATTTGAACCGTGTGTTATTTAGGTTCACACACATGGATGGCTTCGTCTCGCTTCGTTCTTTCAAGTTATGTTAGTCATTATATTTTTGACATCATCTCTTTGCGTGCACTAGAAGCACAGAAAATGGAATGCTTTTGTTAAATTGCAATTGATAATCTAGTATGCTCCATCGAGCTTCAGGACATATTTGGGCATCTTTCGATTTGTGTCGAAATATACTGTTGCAAGACATGTAACGCAAGATGTGGAGAACTGTGGCTTTTGGACATCGGACTATAATCACAAACTTGTAAGTTGTCGAATGCTGACAATTCTCAATATTCCTTGTATTATCGATAACTTCATAGTTCATGAAATAATATTATAAGTATATATTTTTTGTTGACTGAAAATAGTTAAAAACTTACTGAAAAGCAGACACTGTAAAATAAAAATTGAAATTTTTTTGTTTTGATATCGGTTAAACAAATGAAAGTTGCTTTTGATAAACTTAAAATTTTAAAACTCGATTTTAATTGATACTTACCTCAAATATAACTTTCGCTTTTTTGCAAAGGACTTAATGACGGTGCAAAGTGCTCGTACACGTGTTATATAGACGTCAAACACTGCTGATGACGTAAACCTCTGTAACCGCTGTGTCATTGCGGTAGAACGAGTTTAAAACGTGCCGAACGACTGATCTTCCTTTAATGCTAGAATAAAAATATTAAAGGTACAAGGATTTGCTATAATGCAGTATTTTTTTGGATTTCGATAGTGATTACCGATTCAAACAGTTTTTCTGTACACTGTCATGTCTTCAAATTTTCTTGAGGAAACTCAGCCAAAATGAGCGATTTTTACCGATATTTAACTTGACCTAGTACGTGACATAAGATGTGTTCAGTGCTAATACTATTTCGCAATTCATCCAATTTTCTGTTTATAAAATGATTTTTGCCGATTTCTTCTTCGACTACGATATAACTAACATGCAGACTAACATGTATGTAGATTTTTTGGGGGAGTGACGTCATTATGATTTCATTGGCTAAAATACCCTAAAAGTTCGGGGATTCCCCGGAGCTCAAAATGATGTCAGCATATATATCAATACATGGATGCATGCTTGTAGCGCTACTAATTCGATACAGATTAATGGAATTTTCCGATACTCATACTCTGCTAATAATGTTTAGACGCCAGTATAAACGTAAGTAATATCCTGAGCAATATTAGAATTCTTTTAAGAATTTAAAAATTCTTTTCATGCAATCCACGACAAAAGTATATATAGTCCAATGTCGATTACTGCTAGATCAACGGAAACTGAGATTGTTTAAAAATGCTAAAGTTTCTTTTAAATTTATTTTCTTTTAATAACAAGTGTGCATATTCGTACATCAGTATATAGTTAAAATTTGAGACAGCAAATGATATAGAACGGTGATATTTAGAGTTAACTTTACCCAACCAGAGACCTAGTTGTGAGAAAATAAATCGCTCGCTAGACAGACTATAAAAGGAATCGCACAGCTATTTAAAGCAATATTGGAATCGACATGCTGTCTTTTTAAGTTTGGAAAAATAAGAAAAATGTCGTTTTGGCCCACTATAAGACAAAGATCTCGAAATATTATCGTTCGGCCAAAAAGACAAGAAAGTAGATCAATTCATGAGTGATGTAGAGCGCTACTACGATGCGATACTGATCTACGTTCTGAAATGTTGTAAGGTTGGACTGGACTGGACTGAAACTGGATTCAAACTGGCCCAGCCTGAATTCAAACCAGTACAAGTCATGAAATAACATCAGACAACTTAATTGTGGGAACTTATAAGGATCAAAATTAAATTTACTGTATGATATCAAATCAATCAGTCATAAGGCTATTGAAGTTTACAACGTTTCTTGCCATTTCACGCGATTTCGAGCAAGTATGTCCTCCTATTATTATACAAAATAAGAAACGTCCTGAATTAACAATTTCTCATTATAACTTCTAAAACAGCAATGATATAGAGCCTGGAAATAGTCGGTTACGTAATACAACCAATATTAATACGTAATACTATATACTATCATCAATTGCAAGATAGAATAATTTGCATTTGTTTTACCTTCTTACAGGCTGTTTTTATACTTTATGGGGTGCTTTTCAGAGCGATTCGCAAGGATTGTTTCAAATTTGCACAACTCTAGCGACTCGAGGCAGGTCAGCTAGTATTACTAGACTATTAGCCAATACGTAGATTTCGTCACAAACTTTCAGCGCATAACGCAATCTAAACATACTGACCAAAAATCTTGAGTAATAAAACAAGACTTAAAAACTAAATGACACTTAGAAACAGGCGAAAGTGAAGAGCAAAAATTAATAGTTTGTCCTACAAGACTGATTACTGATTGTTGTTAGATCAAGAAAAAGCCTTATTTGAGCTGCAGACTTTAAACAATCAAACACTACGTGGACCCTTATTACATATACAAATTATAGTTTTTATCGACTGTAATACAAATACATACCGATATTAAAATCATACAGAACTGAGTGAAGTAGTATAGCTGTTAGTCTATCTTCACCAACCGGGAGTTTTAAAAACAAACAATGACAAAACTGAAACAATTTCGGGGTTTCCCTAGTAACCATGACATATTATAAATGCACTACTAAGCATCATACTGGGTCTCCGCAAAAACCACGGACGAAACAAGCGAAAGAACCAACACGATGATCATATGGTTGAAATTTTATAAGAATGTGATATACGTGGTTATTCGGCATGAAGAGATGTTTATCAAGGAAGGCGACAAGGTTTGTATACAGTACATTACGGTCCCAGTAATAAACAGGTGGTGTACTTGTGAAGAGCATAAAAGGAAGTCTCGAAATTCATTGGGCGAGAATGAACAATGAGTTGAGCTTTTTCGAGTACTATACACCTATTCGACTAGAAAGAATTTAAAAAATCAAATAATATATACCTAGACATGAGCACTATTAGCTACTATTTAACATTCATCTACATGTAAAAGAGAAAATAATTATTTAGTCCATACAGTATTTGGAAACTATAACACCATTATAATACACATCATCTGACATTGTAAAAAGGATTTGCCTCGTCATCTTTCCCCTTTGGTCTTACCTCCGATGACATCACCTTTTTTGAACCAAATGACAATGTTTTTTTCCCAATAAGGTGTATCTGCAATTATGATAAGCATTGATCCCCCTTAAAATTCCAAAAATACACGATTTTGTGTATTAATTAGCGCTTTTGCTACGCTGCGAACTGTCGAATTTTTTTTTTACTGAGATAAGGTAAATAAATAACGTCTCAGTTCGTACGCGGCTTTTGCCGCTTTTTTGTACCCCTTAAACTGTTGCACGCAAAGATTCACTATAATAATAATAATTGAATATTGAAATTAACGGAAAATTGTGCAAACGAAGATCAATATTGGCCAGTGAGGCAATATGAATATATGCTGCCACTGAACAATATGCTTTCACTCACCATTTAATGACGAACATGAAATGTCAGACGTCTGACTTCAACTGACCCTATGCCAAGTAGTTATCCTTGGCTTTTGTCAAACATGAATTGCTTTAAAATTCAATGCGTGCTCGTTTTAGAACATATCTATTAGATGAGACATTTCAAAAAATGGTGACATACATAAATATATATTTTTTCTATATTTTTCTATTGGCTGAACTGCAGTGCGTTCTGTCAAAATTATGCTGACTTAAGACTTTAATCGTATATATTTAAACGTTACACCATGAATCCCAAAAATGTCTGAACTAGCAATATTCGATAAGATAAGGGATGTTTAAATGTTCTAACTATACCAAACATCTCTGTATATTGCATCAAACTATACTCTCGCTTCTCGTTGACCTAGTATCGCGTCTTGGTATAGTACGCATCCATATTTATTTTCGTTAGTCAGTAATTATTTTCATTTTTATAAAGATGAACATTTTGCCAGCGTCGAAATAAAAAGCAATTGAAAAGAAGCTCGTCGATTAAACTTGACGATTGTCGATTTATCGGTCCAAGATATTTTTTTCAGTTGAACGGGTGAGTTCCACGTAGAAAACAAGCACAATTTACATGATTACCCTGCGAGCAGAGGATTTTTTAACCAAAGGGGCGAAAAAAATCCTCTGCTCATAGGATGACATGATGGAACTCTGTCTATACGATTTTTACTAACGATGACAATTTGTAAAACGGTTTCAGTGGTAACTAAGGAAGCAGTTGGAACAAAAAAAGTGTAGATCACCTTGACCCTAGTCCCACGCAATTACGCAATTGATTATTATATATCTACATATCTATATGAATTTCATTTTGTTTATACAATTAATATTTCAATCAATGTAAATTAATCTACACTTATGACATGCTTATGATTATTCAAATGTTATTTAAAACTATTGTAAATAGAACAAGTCATGCCAATAAAGTTTATCTATGCATCAATCAGTGATTCATAGACTAGCCTCAACCTCGTGCGTGACACGTCAGAAATGCAAGTCGGGGATTCCCCTCGGAGTTCGCCATTACATAGTTTTATTTTATGTTATGTTAAAAACCGATTTAACATGAAACGATAGTTACAAAATATGAATACTTCGGTTTGCTGGTAAAGAATTCCTTACAGCTAATCTACTGGTATCACTCTTAACCACAACTTCGACAGAAATCGTCGACTTAAAGATTGATTGAAAAACTAGCTGTGGCCAAATAAAGCTGTTTTTAAATAAAAGGGTTAACTTTTCTCTCAATGTGATAAAATATCGATACAAATACAACTATATTCCTGCTTTTGAACCTAAAATTATCATAAACGGTGACTGGTTAGTTATAAACATAAATTTTTATAACATACGGTTGAACATTAGCATCATGTAAATGTTATGTATATTGATGCATACACTGCTACGAATGAATCGTATTCACAAGTAAACATAGTCAGCTATCGAATTTTTCATAGTGGAAAAGGATAGAATTGAAAAACATTGAAAACGTTGATTCGTATAGCTATATTCCCTGTTAAGCGAATTGTACTATAAATAAATTATTTATGTCGTAGCCCTATTACAATATTTTGAATGCTTGCGAAATTTTCTCGATTTTTCGTTTCCTACGGCTAAAATTCAAAACAAGAAATGATTATATTCTATCTGTAAGTCTCACCGTTTTGTCGACGAAGATATCACTTGAATCAAAACGCAAGGCAAAAAATCCACACTCCTTTGTCCTTACAAAAACTATAATTTTGGCGCAGTACTCAATTTCTGGAAAAAAAACGACGCCAACACTCTTCCCACGATCACTTGGCTTTTTCTAATGGAGGACGTCCAAACAACCTCTCAAAAACAAGGTTTTGGCACTGCGACTGACAGTATTTTGACTGATTTATATCATCATAGTGGCCTGAGCACTTCTTTGTTAATGCTTTGAATTTTCCTTACAAGGATATAAAAACCCCGCTAAAAATTTGCGGCTAAATAAATTATTTTGACGTCAATAGGATGTCCGTATATAGAACCTATATATTTATAGCGCAAGGCTAAATAATAATGAGATCTTCCCTCATAATCTCAACCTAAGAACTTGTCTAATTTAAGAACATATATAGTAGCACTGATTCTAAATATACACTGCGCCCTTAAATGTTTGAGTATATTCCAGATTCCGGAATGTAAGCCGGTCGTAGGTTAAGAGACGTCAAGATATATATTTAATTTCATGCATATATTGACTACAAAATTGGTAGGTTTTGACGCACGAATCACGGATTTGTACTTCAAGCTTTCCTGAAGTCCTTATCTGAAGTCCTCAGCATAAAACAGCATATTTTTGGTGGTAAAAGGTAAGCAATTGCTGTTTACAAAAGCTAGACACCTTTTACTTCCAAAAGTGCTATAAAAGTTTGTTTAAACCTGTTCAATATGTTCCCAATACTCAATGAACAAATGCGTGAATATCTTTGACGGGTTATATATTTGGTGCTAACATCATAGTAAGGAGACTTCCCCTCTAGTAACTCTTGTAACAGGATGCACTTGTTGATCGGCTAAATGTAGATGTGAAACAGCTCAGTCACATACTCTTCAGTGAGATTGTTGTAGAACCCGGGGTATGTGTAATCTATGTATTCACATCCGTTAGTATATGTTTAGCCTCGAAGCTCCTCCAAAGAAGACTTGAATCGTTTTGCTATATTTCTGGTTTTCAATCATTCCCATGAGATTCAAACAACAAAAGAACGTCGGACATGTTTGAGGTATGAACAATAGATGAGAAATCCTTTGTCATGAAGTACATCCAAATGGCCACTGTGACGTAACCACAAAACCAGCGGCAGAGGAAGGGCCAGGAAGCCGAACTAAATAGGAAGTCGGACGATCGAAAAGGACGTCTAAAACCCTAATCTTACTTTCATAATAAAGCTTATAATGAAAGAAATGAAGTTTAATTAACGTGTCGCTCAGCATTTTTGCCATTATAAGCATTTTTAAGCGCATTTTGGTGAATCACCTCCATACACCCGGCGTAACTAATCGATGAAATCTATTAATCGATAAAATCGATACTAATCGATACAAACCGTAACTAATCGATCGATCATTATCGGAAATCGATAAAAATCGATATTCAGCTTTGCTGTGATTATCGATTTTCATCGATTTTTATCGATTTCCTATCTGTACTGAATTTACTTATAAATAATTACGCTACGTTCACACGGGGCCGGTCAAGTTTGAGGACACCTCGGTTTTAGGACAGTTTCCACTGTTCACGCGGAACCGTCCACATTTCGGTACGGATTGAAACAGTGTTTACACGGATCCGTTCATGCTTCGATGTGATAGCCGTCCTCAAAGTGGAACAGCTTTTAGCCGGCCCCAACCCTGAACACTTGACGCAGCATGACATGACGCCAGAGTCCAGTTCCAGAGTTCCAGTGTGAACGCGCGCCTAGAACGGTTCCGAACGGAACCGGCCCCGTGTGAACGTAGCCGAAAACTGTGTTTTTGAATAGATTTTATTTTTGGTACTCAGTGAAAGTAATCGATATTAATCGATATCTCTATATTTTTTTGTGATTATCGATTTTTATCGATTACCGATACTAATCAATACTAATCAGTTTGATATATCGAGTAATATCGATTTATCGATTAGCTTTCCGATGATCGATTTTCATCGATTAGTTACGCCGGGCATACATTATACCTTAGTCACTTAGTATACAGCTATTTCAAAAAACGTTGTCAGGGAGAACGGCAAACGGCGATTGTCGAATGGAGATTGCACGACCGAAAGGGACTATTGTTACACTGTTTTGATAAACAAAATCTCACTTATTGGATTCACCTTACATACAAATGGAGACTAAAAGGAGCGAATGTTTACCACAGACCATCTTACAGTATAAATCAGTTGTTATTGCCTTTCAATTAGCAAAACCCATGGGTACTTTCGGTCGTGCAATCGCCGTTCGACCATAGACATTCGCCATTTTATCCGACAACCTTTTTTGAAATAGCTATATATCAGTAACTAGAACTGAATTACTCAATCATCTGCAGAATGCGGAATTACTATAGTATAACTTTGCAATGAAAGCTACTTCGATCGATACTTCGACATACAACCAAACTGTATATCTTTCAAAACATTGGGAATAGCTATAAAGTTATATTATTGTACCTCGATAAAAGTTAATCTAACTCTTTGAAACTTTGCAAACTTAAGAAATTTAATAATCTCTTGATTATTTGTAAGTCGGTGATCAAATTTGAAAGCCAAATGTATCGTCGGTAATATAGGAGAAACCATTGTTCATACCATGTGCGTGTCCACACTGCAGATAGTGACAGCTCGATCGAGTATTAAATAAAATCAGAGATCCGACTGCAAATAATTATAGTTACCTATTAACTATGAAATAATCTATGAATCAAATGTTTCAAATAAATGATTCATATATATTTATAGGAAGAAAAAACATATCTTACCCTTGTGATATAACTATAATCTTCTGGACTGATTTATACAACTTCAATCATTGAACACTGACACGTGTGCATGAATTTGAATGTGTCACGTCGATTGCGTGACGTTAGGACGCGTGCGCAAAGAAATATGGTCTGTTCTCAAAGCTCCACTGCATTTCATTCTTTCGTTTTCTTCGCGATGATAAAATCATTATTTCTTTTATATTTTAAACTAACTTTACTAACATGGTACTAAGAACTTATACACCATTTATAAAAAAAAGAAAAGCCATTACGAAGCTTGATTTGTTTATCAATGTATATTATAATATTTATTATAATAGGTTTTTGGATAATATTCCAAGCTCGAGATATAAAAATGCTCGAAGCTACTGTTTCATACACGTTGAGTTTTGAAGTTCTTATTTGGTGTAACCACATCGGCGAGGATGAACAAATGATTGAAATCTAAACTCATGTGATATATATAACTCCTTGATAAAAGGTCTCATTTTCGTCTCTTTTTCAGGGCGTTCACTTTCAAGTCAGTTTCAAGATGACCCTATAAAGTAAAGTGAACAATCATTAACACACAAGTATTGAAAGGAGCGGAAGGGTGTCTCCATGTTTTCTTTTATGCGTTTTATGAACGTTGGCATGTCTGGCATTCCTCTTCAATCCACACTTCCCAAATCATTTTTTTCCGGATGAATCGATCGCTGGTGATCCAGATCGGTTTAGTCTGCGGCTTCTGAAAGCGTCGTGGGCTATCATTCCTTGCTGGGGATACAAAGAAATCTTTCTATTTTCTGTTACTTGTAAGAGAAAGCCTACCTTAACCGCGGCTCCAACTGCAGTGACATCAAGGAGAAAGGTATCATGGCCATATATAGAATTCAGCTCGTAATAAGTCACACTGTTGTTTCCTATTATCGTGACAAATGTACGAAGAATGTTAATGAAAAGTGAAGAACATTTACAAATATATCACTGTCTAGCTCACATCCGTTTTAAAACACGCAATGTTGCCCCCAAGGCACGCCCAACATTGTAAATCGTACTTGGACGTTAGAAAACCCGGAAATGATTCATGCTAAAAAACTGACAAAGCAATCACAGATTTATTCCTCGTACCAGCTTCTTGAAGTAACTGAAAAAGTTCTCTTTGTTGGCTTATGGGGAATAAAACATCCGACTGCACCCCGATAACCTGGAAAAAAAGTCGCATGACATGATGTTAGCGGTTTTTGAAACCACAAATGGATGTTTCTGAGCATCTCTATTGGAGAATGTTCATTGGTCCTGAGGATCACTGTTTTAAGTAACTTACCAATGTGGGACATTGTAGTCTGGAAACGCCTTCAACCAAGGAACTAAACCCTTCACCAAGATCAAATAAATCCATAGCCTTCCATGAAAAGATTAATCCGTTATGTATTAGCTTCATTTCAGAAGCCAGTCCAGATAAGACTTTACTGACCCAATTAGCAATCCGCTGTCAATCAACCAAAGTGATCAACCACCAGTTTGTTTGTAAATGTTGATTGACAACAGTCCATTGCTTATTCGGCATGTCGTAAATTTTATCAGGTATAATCGCATAGCAATGCAGATAATAGTAATACCATAGGATTAGAAGCCAAGATAATTGGTTGCACAAACTCACACTGGCAGAACAAAGGTTTTTTTTCATCTCTAAACCAGTGCATGTTACATTGTACATACCCCTCAAAAGACATGTCACACCTAACAACAACATATGTCTTTTAACATAAACAGAACCATGTATGATATATGTTGCTCACCTTTGATATATACAGTAATGAGTTGGGGTCATATTTAGCACAGAAAGAATCACCCTGTACAGAAGAAATCATGCAGGCATTTAAATAATATTGACAAAAATCAGTAATGCATCATCACTATCCAGGGGCCCTTCCCTCTTCCCCCTTCCCCTCTCCCCCCTTCCTCCCCACTCCCTCCCCCTCTCTCCAGAATGTATTAATATTAGATAATTTTACCTGGTAATCTAGATAGCTTTCAATTTCAAATTCAGGACAAAAATTGGGTTCAATTTTACTGTTGGATTCTATTCTTTGCCTTCCAAATCGTTCTTCCCACTCTGGTCCACTTCGGTAAGTAATGGTAGCCACTTCACTAAAAATCCAAATCAAATCACCTTCACTAATAAATACCAAACTAACCAACTACCATTACAAACTTACCGCGCATGCTTCATGCCAAGTCTTGGAAAACGACCATTATAATAGAAGCCTTTGTTCCAGTTAGGGTCACTCATAAGGACACGCCTCTGTACATATCTCATGGCAATGGACGCTGGATGTGACTGTGCACATGCTGATATGGACACTACTCGTCGCACCCTGTCAGGGTACATACAGCCAGTCATTAGTGACGACATTCCTCCCAGAGATGAACCAACAACACCATGTACCTGAGAAAAACAATCCATAGTGTAGCAATGTCTAGTTGTTGTTGTTTTATTACATGTTTGTTTTCTTTAGTTGGTGCGTCCAGGGATTGCATAGGACCTTTTCTTCCTTTTAATNAAGTGCCCTCTCGTTGCTGTCAGGTGCCTTCTACACAAAACCATTTCTTCATATAGCTTCCTCTAGAATTGTGCAAGACTGATTTTGCATTCTCCAGAGACATTTGTAGGTGCTCTATTGGAGAATTTGAAAACTGCAAAATCTACAGTACTAAAAAAAGATGATTGAACGACTGAATTTTATGATTTTAATTTTCATGTTATTAAAATAGCATACAACACACTAACTTATTCACCTTTGATAGCTCACTTGTAGGAGTATTTTCGCTGACATCAAGTTCTTTATTTTGTTTTACACTTGTGCTAGACCAGAATAAAAAAATATAAAGATGATACTGTACTACTGTCCGTTTTTCAAGCACTCGAAAGTTAGACTTCCGYCACGCACTCCACGGTCGCTTTRCGTAAACAACACATGACAAAAACCTACTCGTTTCCGCTTTTCCGTTGGCTTATAACCCTCTGTAGTTTGGAATATTTCCTTCTCCCGTGCTCTGCAGTTGGTGCRCCACATAGTTCCTGGAGTATATGATTCATTTGCCTCTCCTAATCTATCCACAGCGTCGTACAGTCGCATTGGTAAGTCGATGAGTGAGTTTGTATGGCTGCCTCTACAAGGAGCATCGCCGGTCTTTTTTTTCAATAATTTTTTTATGTTTTAAACAAACCCTACTTTTTTCAGGAACCTGTCCAGCTCTTGCAAGTTTTCTTCCGACAATAAAAAGCTTTCCCCGTGAACATTCATTTTGTTTTGACCGAGTTTTGGCACCTTTCACGTAATCCTGTCCGCGAGCGTGTCCTGTTGTTGTCACGACGGCTAAAATTACGAGCGGCCATATCGGACACACTTTCATGGTAATTTTCTCAGGGTATAAAGAAAAATAAAGAGGTATAAAATAGGAATCACTTAAGTAGTACAATTTCTAGGTTCACTGAAAAAATTAACCTTATAAACCCAGGGAATTGCTTATAAACCAGTCTCAAAGTACGTGTGTGGAAAAATCCCCATGTTTACTACACTCAAGATTAATTTTGTACGCATGCGCAGTGGTCTGACCGCGGTGTTAAAAGAGTAGAGTTTACACAGATATTTCTTGTTGATTTCTTGGTCTATCCTTTGGTCCCAATTTCAATCAATATCTTCTTTAAACGAAAGACGAACAGAAACGTGGACCTTCTGGAAAAGGTTGGTGAATTATATTTTACAATTTCTTAAGTCAAACGAGAGAAACCGGCATTTGCGTTGCCTGTCTCGATCTACACATGGACGGGCATTTTTTTATAGCCAGAAATACATGTAGTTGCAAGGGACAATAGTGAATTTATCTATCACAACATCAGCATTTTGATAATGTGTTGAATCGAGCTTGCGTAGGGYGCTTAATGTCCAAATATACTGTATTATATCGAAGTTCGTCGTCGCGAATCGGTTGCCAAGTTGACATCAACTTCCGGTTGTAAGTTCGTCTAGTTTTAGGGCCTGAAAGTTACATGGATAGGTTCACCCTACTAGAAATGTGACCCTACCAGAAAGGTGACCCTTTTCTATTGCGTTTCTGTTTGTTTATAGAACAGGGGCAGGGTTACCCTATCTATCAACTAGCTACGCCCCCCCCCCCCCCCCCCCCCCCCCTCCTACTATAGGGACCAGGTTTTTACCCTGTACACACTGAAGTAGGCCTATCTCAAAATAATGGTTTTATTGACAATAATAGCTCACAGCACTGAAAATATATAGACAAGTATGATATAAACAATCAAAAGGAAAAAAGAGAAAACTCCTTACAAAACCTAGTAACCATGATGCTAGCGATACTCCAGGGGTGGCCCCTGCTTGTCAAGTTTGTRTGTAAAGGAGGAGGGGCTTTGTTTGAACTCTTCTGGTAGGGCGACCTTTTAGTGTAAAGTGATCCATGTAAACTGGGCYTTACTCTAACAGCATTTTGTACTGAATTCTGAGGCAAAATTGCTTATACTATAGCTAGAAATATCCATGTCAAGAGATATCTGGAATTGCATGCTTTGACTCTTTTTCTGTTGTCACATTAAAATGCTTTAATAAGAGTTCCGAAAATGCTTGTAAACAATCTTTGAATAGTGTCCAGTTATCGATTACAAAGTAAATCAGTTTTGAAAGCATTCCTCGAGAAAGTGTCTCTTTTAGCTTTTTTAAAGTGAAATGTTAAGAAATAAATAAGTGTTGTCGTTCTAACTAAAGGAAATCAATGGATAATACCTCATTACTTCTAGCGTGWGATGATGCCGAAAGGCCTGTGTACAATAACACAACATTGCTCTTRTCATCATTTAGTTGACCCCATGTTTCATAAGCAACAACCATTTCTGGAACAACTCCCTCATTGTATTGGAAATAAAAAGGCTGATTGTAGAGAAATGTTTGAAAACCAGTAAGAACTTGGGAATAGACTGGGTCAGCACCAATGCTTCCTTTGGAYCTAAAACAGAAAATATATAAGGACCCGTATATGACCCATCTTAGTGACAAAGTAACAGTTTTTTTTATTTATGAATCATCCTTATTTACATTTGAAGTTTGCCCTCGCAGTTAGTCCAAGACTATTCGAGGCGAGGGCGATAATGAAGGAGTATAGTATTTGTTATATGTCTTTGCTCAATGAATTTCCTAAATTTTGATTGACATGGTTTGTTCCGAGCAATGAGTCTCTGACTGTTTCTATGACAATGGTCATTTTGCTTTCTGTAAACCACGACTGGGTGAAAGCAATTTTGGCTGATAAGGTCTCCTCTTGCAGCCATTAGGACGTTCATTCCCAGACTGCAACAGGAGACTAGGTGAACCTCAGTCTACTTGAACTGAAAGTCCCAGTTGTTATTATATTATGTTATGTTATTATATTATAAGAGTTTCTATAGTAATAAAGTGTGTAGCTTGAAAGAAAGAAATTCAACTGTCATTTTATTGAAAAGGAGACAGACAGACAAATCATGGAGCACAAAGAATTGCCCAGGGGAAAGGGAGATTTGCCCTCATAAATCTTAACAGAAAATTAGATTTGATAGTCAAGAAGAACGAAATGTTTGTTTACATATATCCATATCTTATAGAGGTCGAAAGTCACTGCAGTATAAAGAACAAGAGTAGCGTAGCAATGGACATTAGGAAAACATCTATTCTAGTTGTACCAATGAACAATAACTTTGATTGTGCACAGATATTTAATGCATTATACAGTCACATGATTCATGTTCTGACCTTGGCGATAGCTCAGTCAAACAAGGAAAAGAAGGCTCCATTCCCTTAAACTCCTGCACAAAATCGGGAACCTTGACTTGCTTGTTTGCAATAATATGTTTTGATCGGTTCAGTGGCATCGGACGAGACTGCAGCCCAAGAAATCGAGTTGATCTGAGAATCCTTGATAGTATCGTTCGCGTGTTCATCGTGAAAAGGAATCGYAAAATGGGYCAAAATTCCTTTAAATTAGTCTCTGGAATAWATTTTCTTTGTGTAATCGAAGGCTTTTGATTACCAGTTACATTTTAAGATTGACTTCCATATCTTGTGAGGATGACGGTGCAAATTACACATTTTCCAAGTCCTATTATTGTTGTAAACACAAGCACGTTCTCTATTCGTGACATTCATTTGGACTTTACCCAGTAATAGCGATGACGTATTTCCGGTCAAACTGTCACGCGATGAAAGGAAATTGTAACGCTTTCTTATGAGGTTTAAAGGAGTAACAAAACATACCAAGAAAGACACAAAGTATGAAGATGAGAAAACAAGTCTGGCTGTAGTCATTTTCTTCACAACAATGTGAGCTATAACAACCAACAGCACTCGGGCAGAAGAAATCAAGAAAAAATGGAAATCGGAAAAAAAGTGAAAGAAGGGGGAAGGGGAATGACGGCCGATTCAGGTATCRAAGTTATGAATTCGCGAAATGGCTAAAGATTTTCTGACAAGAAACGTCAAAAATACTCTGTGGAAGTCACTGGTGCATTGAATCGAGAGAGCAGTGTTTAAAGAGCGCTCGTTAAAGTGCTTACTCGGGCACCATGTGCAGCACCACGAAGTAACATGAGCTACTTACGAAGTCTGAGATCTTAACTTTTAGAGTAGTTCACATAATCCATGAAAAAAAGTAGCACTAGTTCTAAACAATATTCGAAACAAATGAATTGGCAATGGGCGGTGACGTCATATTTTTGCAGCAAAGCATGGTGGGAATTGTGGTCCACTTTTCTTKTCCGCTAKTTTTTTAGAAGTCATTCGTTTCTATATAACGTACTTCTGTTACTTGACTTACTAAGGAGTACTAGCTAGCCTTGCTTGAGTACTTCCGTTTACATCACTTTAAATAGTTCAAACCATAATCTTTGTTCTGTGAAGGGGTGAAGATGTAGTAGAAATATTGTCGCAGTTGTGTAAAAAGATAAATTAGTCTTCATATTTTGATGATTTTTTGACGGATTTTAAGTTGTAATCGCGAAATATATATAACATGTCACGTGAATAGAAAGAGGAAAGGATTAGTGACACAGCTGTTTTYGCTAGCACACAGCAACCGTGGAAGCATCACTGTTCAAACGACCGCCATCAGTCTGAAAGAAACCAACTGAAACAAAAAAAGGAGGAAAAGAAAGGACTGTCTGATAATACTGATAAGAAACATTAACATCGTAGCCGACTACAAYACGTTAGATATGGAGAAMAGTTCCCTTAACGAGAGCTTTCGGAGCCTTCCATGCAAAATATCCATCTGTAATGCTGAAGACTTGACACATGTCGCCTACTCTCCAACTGTAACAATTCTATCGTTGATCGCTATCGCACTTTCTTTCACYACACTGGYATTCAATGGTCTTTTYATCCTCGTAATCTGTCTCTACCATGAGTTGCGCACTTGTTCAAACTACCTGTTTCTTAACTTAGCTATCGTGAATATAACATACGGTACAGCTAGTTTGATCTCTTGTTTCTACTATTATCAATGGCTTACTGACTGCGGCCCTGGTGTTTGTTTCTACATGGATGTCTTTTCCTATTTCGCAGGGACAGGAATGGCACTRACCATGACTATCTTTACATTTATCAGCATTGAGAGGTACATTTGTATCTTTCATGCGCTTCGTTGGGCGCAGATMATTACGAAAAGACGCGTTATGATCGTTCTTATCTTGATGTGGACAATATGGTTGGGAATTTCGGGYCTTTTGCGTGTGCTGAATCAGTGGAGCATGTTCAAGATGGTGTACATCTTCCAATCTTTGATTAACATAGGAATCATATTTGTTACTAACGCCAAAATCTTCAAAGAAATTCGAAGGCATGAAAATAGCATTGCCGCACAAGCACAGATCTCTGTTCCAAAYACAGATGAAATCACAAAAGCGCGGGAAAAAAGGCGCGCGCGTACGATGGTGCTCATGGTTTCACTACTGCTACTTTGCTATATACCTAGTCTAATTCTCCAAATTGGCGATAAAACCCCATTGCTTAATAAATACAAATGGAAATTTGTCTTCTTGCCATTTCGAGTGATTCTCTTAAGCCACACAACATTTGACATCTTTGTGTATGGACTCCGAACTGAAGAAACTCGAAAAGCATTCAAGAAGCTATTCAACAGATTTAACAGAGGATCAATCAATAACAATAGCGCAAACAGCAATAGCACTTCATAACCTTAATGTAGATTAACTACAAGATAGATCGAATAGTACAGTTAAGAATAAATGTTAATTCACTACAWTCTATGAATCTCTCTACTGTCGAGTACATAGTTCACAGTTCATGATTTATGAACTTGGTTGCCTACTTAGTTTGATTTGGCAGGTGAATGTCATAAGTCACGTGATATACAGCGGCTATAAATTAATTAACTAARGACACCGTTCACGGAATCTTCGAGTTAAAGTCTGAACACATCTAGCAGAATTGTTCGTTGCCGCCTTTGTGTATATATCAAGTTAGATCTTCGAGATGTGAATTTGTTTGTTTCTTTGCACCAAAAAATCAGCTGGAAGTTTATAAATAGTGTGCAAAAGGCGGAAAATAGAATTAAAAAAACAATATCAGACACCGTTCATAAGCTTCCATTACCGACAAAAAAAAAACACTCGCTTCCAATATCAAAAAAATAACACTTCAAATGGGCAAGAGACCACTTGAATACCAAAAAAATATTATTGTGAACACAGATGCTATAGTTAAACCTATATTTTTTCAGTTTTGTTTTATGTAGGCCCTTATAAGCGTAGAGACATTTCCAGACAACAAATGTCTTGAGGTTTTGTTTAATATAGCTGGCGTATTTTTTTTTTTAATTCAAAGTGTTTGAACATTAGAACTGTCAATTACTAATACTGAACAGGAAACCWTTGGAGGAATAGACAAGATAAAATAATTGGATTTGATGAACCATTCTGGTATTAAAGMGGAATATTTTGTAAAGGAAGTATTCCGTTGATTCCGGTGTTGCCATTGAAAAACTATTCACATTCCAACTTAYTTATTTTTTTTACAAATAATCTGTATTTGTCTTCTGCATTGCGGGTATTTTCAATTACCTATTTTATAATATTACCTATTACTTAACTTTTTTCAAATATTCCGCCTCCATAAGACTTTTCCCGGGTATTCCGGATTCCGGTTCAACTCCCCGATGAAGGAGACACTTTTTCACGATTTCATCATAGCCTAAAATTTCCCGTCTGTTAAAGTTTCCTGTGAGAACTCCCGAAGGACTAATTTACCCAACGATAGTCATTTTTCTACTATACGTACTAATATTTTGCCTGCTACTATACGTAACTCGTAGGACGCAGTGGCACAGTGCGGTGGAATTAGATGTAAATGGTCTAGGGACCGGTTAATTTCTCCCTTTCTGGACTGGCTTGCCGGGTTAGGACCCCCGGGRGGGGGGGGGGGTACTCCCCTATATTCGCTATACGGGGACGTGCCGCCAACCAGGGTATCGCTTTCAGTGATTTTACTCTGGAACWGGGTATCGATTTCAACGATTTTTCTCTGGAACAGGGTCAGGGTTGAATTCCGGAATTATTGATGTTGGGTAAAAATTCAAGGGGTAAAATTCGGTCTACACGCAGGCTAGTGCTGGTTTTTACTCTGAAACAGGATATCGTTTTCAGCGATTTCACTCTGGAAACCCCCCCTCCACCCCCCCCCCCCCCCCGGAAGTTTGAGTTCTTTACATGCAATCTCTTGTGCGGAAGTCGGCATTCAATAAGATGCTGGCTGGTTAAAGCGCTAATAATCCCGCCACATTCTCTTTTAAATATCAAAATATCAGAACCGTATAGCGCGGAACTGACTATTTCATATGTGAAGGTCAAGTTTTTGAAGAAAGCGTATTGTTTGGTACTTTTTTGGTATATGTAGTGCTGATTTGGTGTAAGTTCGGTTGAAAACATGAAGTGAATATGTTAATGATATGTTAATGACCAAAATTTAAAACTATAAAGAACACTAAAAAACTGAAAAGGATACCATAACAAATGATAAATACAGTTTTTTCCAAACAACTAGGTTGTTGTTGAACACGATAACAGTTATTAAAGCTTTCCGTGGTCAAGGCCCTTCATGCAAATGTGCAGAAAATGAAAATAATTATGATTAAGTATTTGAGTTTAAGGCAAGAGTGCATTTAACTTAATATGTCAAATAACCTCTTGATTAGAGTGTATTTTACGAAATAAGGAAGCCATGGAGAGGTTTCCGAGAGTATCCTCYTTGAATCTTTTAAATAGGAGTACTAGAAAAGAAATTAAAAATCGAAATGGGAATTCCCAATTTCAAAACCTTTTCATTAATAATACCGACGATTCACGTCTTCCAAAWATGTATAACTAACCAAGAACTTTCTATGTTGATAATCCTTATCTTTGACTTAATGGGATTTTTTCTCAAAAATGAGACAAAAATAATGAAACAAAAAAATGAAACAAAAATATGAAACAAAAATAATAAAACACATTCTTGATCCGCTGTATTATTTGAGGCCTAATATGTCCATCAGCTCAAGTATTTTATAGCTAAGTCAAGTGGCATTTGTAATTTGTCAGTTACAAGGATTGCATAATCTTGCGTCGCTGTGGTCGAGGTTCAACTCCTGGCGCGGACATGATTAATTTTAGACAGGATGCCGTAATTACTTGATGGACTATTTCTTTCTTACCACCAGGGTTTTCTTTCAGGGGCTGTAGTTTTCCTCTTATAATTGACCTATTTTTGTCACYATGCAGGTGTTTGCGTTCTTTATTGCGAGTAGTTATAGAACGATTACGTAAGGCATAGATACTATGGTCCATTTGATGTGAATTTTTCTTAGTRCATGGAGAAACTAGTCAATAATGTCAATAGCATTGACGGTATGAATTGCGCCGCTCGAACTYGAAAAACGAAATAAAAACCAAATGAAATTGACAACACAAGCGCAAGTCTCTCAAAGGGGCGTTGTCTCTATCACGTGGTACATCGGCATAATTGTTCACTACGTCCATCAATTACAACTCCTCGAACTATTGCCCCTCTTCAGATCTCTTTATTACTTGAACTTACCATTTATCAATTGAAATACGGTTAAGTGTTGAACTCCAACATTGAAGTTGTTAAAAGTTAGTTTCTTTTCTAGATGTCATGGCCTTTSTCTTTGATGAAGTACAACTTGGGCACGAAAATCCAAATAATGTATTTTCTTTAAGTGCTAGGATGTTATTGATGGATTAATTAAATGGATTAATTAATAGATTAATTAATAGATTAGAATAAATGACATGATTATTGTATATAATGGAGTATGAAATAATTAGTCTATAGTATGTAATGTCCACAAATAGATGCTTACGACGTMAGCCGAATTGAAAACAATAGAAAACAAAGGAATGGAAACGAGGCCTAAAGGCCCTGAAGAAGTTTGGATGGAAAATATCAAGGGATTCCATTCACCTGGATTCAAGAAAAATTGTCTGTTGGAAAAGTAAATTTTCTTGCTTCTTGTTGAATTTAAAAAGATTATTTTTCAATTCAAAAGTTACTTCCGGTTTATGTCGTAAACATGTATGGAGTAATTACAATTGAATCAGTTGTATAAAAGAAAAAAATTAACACCGTAAAAAGTAGGTGAAGTGACTTACTGACGTTTCGCACGTTAATCCTTCGTCGGAGTCAAGAGGAAAGGATTAACGTCCAACGTCAGTAAGTTATTTCACCTACTTTTTTACGGTGTTGAATTTATCTTTTTATACAACTGTTTATTTAGAAACATCGATGCAGCTCACACGGTTTACCGCTATAGTTCCCAATATTTTAAATACAATTGATTCACATAACTCTCGTTTAGTTGCCTATTTGAGTCACGTGTAGTGAATATTGAGAGATAAGGTTAACAATTATTATAGTCTTGATATCCCATGTCTAAAAAGCCTGCAGGAATCAATATGCAACCCGCCCATCTTAAGAAGTCCGCATTAGCAATCCCGCAGTGAAAGAGAACATATATAGAAAATTAAAAACCGAAAAAAATTTGAAAATMGAAAACAAATTATCTTCTTAGAATTACCGAAAGCAATATTTAATACGCACAAAGAGTGCAAGCARAAGGGCACTTCAATCTTCTATTGGCCTCCAGCAACCAAAAAAAGAACAGTGACATTTGTGAGCTTGGTGATCACTCATAATCGACTCATAAACATGACGTCACGGACTCTTATAAAAGCAAAGCAACATTTGAGTAGACTTTACTGATTAAAAGAATCGAAGGAAATTACATGGTAAGTGCGATAAATTGTATCGAAAGCTTCTGTCGATTCGTAAGGGAAATACTCCTTACGTCTTAATTTCAACTTTTAGTAATTTTTCTTGAAGGGATGTCAGTTATATTTTGTTCTTATTTCAAACCGGATTTACTTGTAATGTTTTGTCTTTTGTGGCAGGAACTTCCTTTTCATAAAAGAGCATTGAGGAAGGGCAACTTCTAAACGTACGCGCAGATAAACAACAGAACAAATACTAAACTAAACGGACATCAATCATATATTAGCCTGTAGTCGAAAAGGGGGCTAAGTAAGTAAGTAAGTTGGGAACACAGTTTATAAGCACTGATTATTGGAATCCTTACTAGATAYTTTTTTACTTCAAAGCGGAAGGTAAAAAGTAACAGCTGCGAAAMCAGAGGCACCGTGAAGTAAAAGGAAGATCGTTCAATCGAAAAAACTTGGATAAACGAAGTAAATTGAATTGATAGACTGAAACAACGAAAAGTTCTCACAAAAAGGTGGGCTAAAAGAAGGTCTTGAAAGGTGGAATTGAAGCTCTACAAAATTCAAACCTAAAATCCGCGTCTACTAAACCACGCTACCATGAATCTTACCAACTCGTCCAACGAGACAGACGTCCATTTTGTACCAATACAGTGCCCTGATCTCGCATTCTGCAAGCGTTACGTTGGGACGGGCGCATTTAACGAATTGACAATCTTTCACATCACCGCTATTCTTTTTATCGCGATATTTACTTTTTTGATTAATGGGTTTTTTATCCTTATGATATACTTATTTGAGGAACTGAGACACACTTCGAATTACTTCTTCCTTAACATTGCCTTAGTGAACATGACYTTTGGATTTAGTAGTTTAGTTACTTGCGCTGCATTRTACAAAAAGTTTTTGGACTGTACTGTTGATGTTTGTTTTTACAAAGACGTTTATGTGTWTRTATCAGGTACAGCTTTCGTGTTRACAATGACAACATTYACWGTAATCAGCATTGAGAKGTATATTTGCATCGTCTACGCCCTTCGATGGGTGGCTATKATTACGACTCGTCGGGTGATGGTCGTGCTTGGGTCTGTGTGGTTGTTATGGATCGCGATTACAACATTCTGTCGCGCTACGAATACTTGGAAGTACTTCCGCACGTTATTCATGATTCARTCTGTGTTYAACATCACCGTCATCTTTATCACGAACGTGATTATATTCAAGGAAATTCGACGACATGAGAAAATGATCGCAGAGCAAGAAACTGCTGACAACATCGATGAAATTCGAAAAGCGCGCGAAAAAAAGCGCGCGAAAACTTTCATCTTTATGGCGACTCTGGTGATTCTATGTTACCTCCCCTCTCTGGTCCTCTTGATTGGTTACCGAATTCCTACAATCGATGAAGTGAACTGGCAATATGCGTGGTTCTTTTCTCGAACTATCTTTCTCAGCCACACAGCTTTTGACATTATTGTGTATGGGTTGAGGTCCGAGGAGACAAGGAATGGCTTCAAGAAAATAGTGCGAAGATTTTGCTGTGTAAAATAACATGCTGGCAAGTGAGGTTCAAACATTGCTATCGAAGCGTACTTAAAAGGAGAACAATAGGAAGTGTTTAGAATAACAAACAAAAAGAAAGTGAAGAAATACACCACAATGAAACCGTGGCCATGATGCGTGTACAGCTCAGTACAGAATGGAATCAACAAATTCAATACATGCACATAATTTTGCAGCTAACGATGCCATGCGGTTAAGACTGTTGAAAATATTTCTTTAATGTACATTGTTTGTTTCCGAACGTAGCCATATTTCTTTTCAATACATCCTGAGTCTGGGCTTTGAGGGGGTCTCTCCATTTTTTCTCCTAGGGAAGCTCAGATTATTTTCAATATAACAAGCATATATCACTGGAAAAAATCGCGCGCTTCAAAGGTTGTAAATTTGATGTAAATATGATGTAGGTGTCCAAAATTCTGTAAATTTGATGTAAATGATTTCCATTAAATTAACAGAATTTTGGACACTGACATCATATTTGCATCAAATTTACAACCTTTAAAGCGCGCGATTTTTACCAGTGAATCATCATACGTCGACCATTTATACCGACAATTTTCAAATATTAATTTCTCGGAATGCTATGATATTAAGCACTGGAAAAAATCGCGCAATTGAAAGGTTGTAAATTTGATGTAAATGATCTACATCAAATTTACATCACATTTACTTCAAATTTACAACCTTTAAAGTGCGCGATTTTTTCAGTGAAGGAAAACTTACTTGTTATAATAGATGCTAATGAATGGTAAAATTCGTATCTCCAAGCGAACATCCTCTATATAAGCAATCATGTATTAATTAATATCATGAAAAGATCGCCATATTGACAGTCATAGTAAGCCTTGGTTAAAATAATTGTCTCACAATATACTTGTAGCAGCATTTCAAATTTTTTCATTTATATTTTGACGATCAGACTAAAAAACCCTCGATTTAGCTCAAAATAACCATATTCTCATTCCCAGACTTCCCTCGCTCTACTCGAAGCAGCTGAGAAAGAAAATCATCAAATGGTTTCTGGGTTCCCTGTTTTTATGGATCTCCCTTATTTCCTGCATGACTAAGTCAATCATTTACTGGGTACTTAGTATTATTGAATCGCGTCCCTGGTCTTCCTCACAGCCGGTAGAGAGTAATCCCTCACGAGCGTTAACGCCGGGAATACGGCTGCAAGGGAGACGACCAAAGCACCGTAAGCGAGTCTGGAAAGCGTGGGGAAGAATAAATTGATAGATTGTAAAAAAAAAAATAAAGTCTATTGAATATTAACAAAAACGTTTTTTTTTTCACTTGAGTTTTGAAGTCACACGACGTCATTGAATGCTGTTTGACCACKGGCTTTCATTAAAGCCGGTATATACTTTAAGAACGCCCACCTATTACTTCCCGTGAGCATTTAATAAACAAATCGAAGGCAATTTCCTCTCACATTTTAATAACCAACGAGTCTTAGTAAATGGATAAAAACAAGTCCTCGGGCTTCCTGTGTGCGTTTTTTTTTTTTTTTTTGACCAAAAATACTTCTCTGGGTATCACGTGATAACTCCGAATGTTAAATTACTTTCCTGATTGGTTGGTGGACTAACCAATCAGAATCGAGAATTGCGATCAATTGATATTTCTGTCACGAATTACGAATTGGGCGGTTCTGATAATCAAGTTCTTATTATCATGTAATTGAGAAGGAAGGAATGATAGATTGTTAGCTATTCACACTTTAGACCAATATCAACAATTGACGCGCTATCGGAATAAACAAAGCTTCAAAAGGAAATATCCACTAGTGAAGCAACTAAATGACTAACTTTACGACCATTTACTACGCATAATTACAGCGATAAATCTATTTTATTGTCGTTTTATATGTAGGCTTTGGTAAAATTTTACGGTGAATAAATTTGAACCATTTTGAAATGTTAATCGAACCAATTTCAGTCACTCAGCAAGCCGAAACTCATTAATAATCATGACGAAATACAACAAAAGATGACATCCCATAATTCGATTTGCAAAATTATGAAATTTGTTCATGTACTCTTAAAGGGATAAAAGAAAATAGTTGCTTTCGAATYCTTTCTTAATCCTAGAGGCATTTGCTGCATAGCCGAGATATAAGTGTTTTTACGAAACTTACGTCTGTACGTCAAATTATATATTTATATAGTGCTTGGTATATTACTCGCTCTTTCATTGGTCGATAACCGCGTGCTAATAAAGTAAATTAGCGTGAGTCACTTCAATCTTACCGTGCGCTTTACTGAACCAGTGCGCGGCGACCATCCCTAACTACAACCATTCAGATATCCACCACAAGAGCTATCGTATAAAACATAAATCAACTAAGGTATAAAAATAAATTTAGATTTTGTTTTACTGTTGACTTATTGAGTGTTTTTCCTTAAAGTGTAAAAAATTGTGATACACCAAAAAGAAAGAGTAAAATGTGTGAAATAAGAGGTCCTAAACTGCATGTGCGGTGGTGTATTTTATAAGTATTGTTTGTATTTTATATGTATTTTATATATATTTTATATTGTATTTTATAAGGTAAATAAATCCACTGTAACACTAGCTTCTCTCAGTCTGCCAAGATCGTATTCTTTTTTGCCATCTACTTTTCATGTACAAACGATAAGGAAATGTCCACTTGTAAACCACATTCTCGAAGCGCTTGTTAATGATGTTATTCCTAGCGGGTTCATAACACATCCAGGTTCACTTTACGATAAATGGGATTTTAACCACTGTTTAGAGAACTTGGACCAATTTACATTTTTTTCTATCAATCGCATACATATTAAAGACCTTAAGCCGAGTGCTCTAAAAACGGCCTCTTGAGAATTCCAAGGCTAACAGTCGGTAACATCCGTAGTTTTTGTTCATTTATTAATCAGAGAGTGCAATATGTCTTGTTTATGGTTATTGTATTGTGACATGCCTCAAGCCAACATAAGTGTTCACAAAGGCAACCTCAAAAGGGCTCTCACGATTTAGAATTAAGCCAGTGCCTTAAAAACAAGTATTACTGACATAATCTTAACACTCCACAAGAAATATCGAAAAGACCAGATCGTCTACCAACTCTTGCTTATTCCACTTCAGTGAAACGTTCCGCCAGTAAACAACAGCAATTGTTCAAACATTTACCTGCCAGAAAATGTCAAAAAATATATCTATTGGTTTCACCGACTTTTTCGTGTGCGACGCGATGGAGTTCTGTAAATTCAAACCAGCTTATTTTGTGATCTTCCACTGGTCGGTCAGTGTTATCTTGCTATTTCTTGTTTTTACAACAGTGTTTGTGAACGGAATCTTCATCCTGTCTATGTATTTCTTTCAAAGTCTCCACACAGCAGCCAACTATCTGTTTATTAGTTTAGCGATAGTGAACTTGACCCTGGGGACTGTTAGCGTACTTTCAAGCTCCATCTACAATATGGTGTTCTTTGAATGTACAAAGATGGCATGCTTGCTTAAAAACCTTTACATCATGTCCGCTGGATTGAATATGTCAGTGACGATGACAACATTCATGATAATCAGCGTTGAGAGATATATCTGTATTTTTTACGCCCTTCGTTGGGCAGAAATCGTCACAAAGAAGAGAGTTGTCATCATCGTTGGTTTGGTTTGGGTATTCTGGACAAGCATGGTTGTTATCATTCGTGCAATGAATCTCTGGGAAACATACGAACGGATATATATCATCCAGTTCGCCATCAACATTGCCATCAGTTGTGTTGTGAACACGAAAATCTTCAAAGAAGTCAGGCGACACGAGCACCGGATCGCTGCTCAAGAGCACGTCGTTGCTAACTCCGATGAGATTCGTAGAGTACGCGAGAAAAAGCGCGCGAAAACATTCATCTTGATGATTGCCCTTATCATCATGTGTTACGTTCCAACTCTAATCATGGTATCTCTWATGCATTTAAGTTCTATTAGTCAAAGTCAGATCCAAATTGGATGGATKATATGCCGAGTTATTTATCTCAGCCACTGTACTTTTGACTTACTCGTGTATGGTATGAAGACGGATGAAGTTAAGGCCTCTTTCAAGAAGATTTTGAGCAAAGTTCGCTCTCAAACTCGGCACTGACAATGATATATGTACATACACTATTTCAGAACAGCTTGTTTTATTCACTGTGTTCAGCACTCACCTAGTTATGAAATAGAATAGCTGAAGCTTTTGCTTCTCAGAATTGTCGGATACAAACGTTGATAGTCAGTAGAACTGAATTTATTACTATATATTCTTATATATTAGATACATTTGTGGATTTCAGTGACCTGCAACTAGTTAAAACTATTCTAAGGCAGGTCACTGATTATATATGTATATATTTATATTTACTTCCAATGTACACTTGTTCAAGTTTAAAAGGTCAGATAAAAGTACAAAATACAAATTAAATTAAATTATTTACAAACTATTTGCAAACTGAAGGCAACACCATTAAATTGAAATAGATAGAGAATGTTGATAAGTATATATTTTGTAGTTAGCACAATTTGATCAAGATTCACTTGGTAAATAATATTTTGAAAAGACCTGTGTGGCTCTTCCAATTTCAAAATAGCTCTCTTCATGTATRAGYATARAAAAAAGAGTATTACGTATCTTTTTTTTAAATGAAAATTTTTGACTGTCCTTGAATATATAGAATATATAGTAACTGAAACTAAGCGCAAAGGTTCGAGGCTCCTTTAAGCATGGCGGGCACATGACGGAAATTGCAGAACTAAGTTTTATTTCTGAACTTTTTAGTTTTTTTTGTAAGCGGCTTTTAGTTCTCATTTACTTGTAAACAAAGTCAAGAAATTAAAGTCACAAAACAATCCTCTCTTGCTTACTTCATCCCTATATGTTGAGTGCGGAAATGGATTGCTTTCCAACACCCTTCAAAGTACCTTAAAACGCCCCCTACTACTAGCTGCACTCGAGTTTCCCAAATAGACGGACCGTATCATTTCCTCTGGCTTTGCGTGCTATCTTTTGAAATTTATCCTCGAAAAACTTGTGCCTACTGAGGAACTCTTAAGGGGACTTCCAATCCCTTGAAGAGGTTCTGGTACCTGTGAAGATTATTGCGAAGTAAAATATAAAACAAACTGTTGTTATATCTTCACTATAGACTAAMGTTTTGTAATTTAGYGACCTGCACAATGGTGAAGCAGTTTAGCAGATGTATTCTATGSAGTTTCCGTCCTAATAATGATGATGTCATGCAGCATATGACGTCACAGGATAATGAGATCGTTAAGTTCAGCTGAAGTCCTTATTTCTCGTTTGTTATTAAGTTTTCACATAAGCAAGCTAAAGAGCGTGCAATAAGTCATGTGAAATAGATCTTAATATCAAAAAACGTGTCAGATTGCTTCCATGGTGGATCCTGACAATATAGGTTTCCTTGTTGGCATCTCGTTGTAATTTACTTTTTCTCGTTCGGCTCTCGTTTTTTTTCTGGTAGAGAAGCTCTCTTTTCATAAATGTCTCAGTTTATTTGAAAAAATAACGTTAAGGGGCCTTGATTGTCTTTTAAATAAAATACTTTGGTCAGAACTTTAGTACAGTATAATACTAGTGTCATCGCCATAGAAATGCCAGAATTTTCAACTCAACCAATCGCTAATAATGTGGACTTGTCTCACATTTGTTGCCAAATTTAATACAAATATGAGAAGATAATAGTAACCAGAAACAAAGAATACAGCTTTACTGAGATACTGCTCTAACTTTGGGGTCATTTTTGCAACGTTATAAGTATCACATAAGAAGAGGTGCCGTTGAGTGACTGTTAAATTAGTCTTGCAAAGGATCAGTTTCATCCATTTTGATTCTTGTCTTATTGATTATGAGTTTCCTGTGTTTCGAAAAGTACTCAAGAAACTAGTTCATTTGCTTGTGTTACTTCTATCTCATATTTTATCCTCTCTTTCTTTTTCTTGTTTCAACAGATCCATTTTATATGACGCCCGCGGTATATATTGCCAGCGGTATATCATTCAAGATGGCGGACGACAAGAGAGTTTTAACTGTTCTTTTCGGTTCGCAAACAGGGACAGCAGAGGACGTTGCTGAAAGGATTGGACGTGAAGGAAAGCGACATTATTTGTCTGTCTGTGTTAGAGCTTTAGATGATTATGATGTGGTAAGATTACCAAAATAATAAGTGTTTTATTGAGCCTTTTTCCTGACGTGTTGCTACAATATATTATTTGAACTAATATAAGGTTATGTAATCGCATATTATGGCTTCATATATTTTATTTTAAAATCATTATAATTACAAATATGTTAAAACTGAAGTAACGCTTGTCATTTGCCAAGATGATGTTTCAATCAAGCTGGAGTTATTTCAAACTTTATGTTTCAATAATTTCGATTTACTTATCCTAATCATTTTTTTCTGTTAAATTAGACGAAGCTTATCCAAGAGAAAATTGTAGTATTTGTTTGTGCCACCACAGGACAAGGTGATGAACCAGATAACATGAAGGTATGTRAACAAAATAATCTATTTGTGTCGTAGTATGGTCCTGGGATGTGACCTCTTAGTACTTTCCCTTAGTTTGCGCTACTTTGTGACCTTTTTGTGGTGCACCTCTCCTTATCAGGAGATCTTCACCCCTTCATTGAGGAAAATGGTAAAAGAGAATATGATCTAGTTCATGCTTAAGGGAGAGTTTTCTGTTCGTCAATGATCCCAAGGCTAGAATCTGGTCCACTGATCCCCAAAGTAGCAAAGTATGATCTACAATTTTGATTCCTGATCCTCGTCAATACCTTTGTGATCCTGTATTACAAGTCACTAACACATTGATCTCAATTCCAAGGCTAAATCTTTGATACCCTTAGCTCATAAAAGCACCAAATTGTGATCCCTTGATCCCCAAAATAATGCTGATCCCTGATCCTTTATACCTTGTCAATACTCCATTTTCGAATTCTAAGCGAACAACCGCTGTTTTATTTGACAGCAGATTCTCTTACGCAAAGAACTTACCAAACACAAAGAAAGCACGAGAAAATGTTGTTAGTACAATAGCGCTGACAATAATTTACATTTTCCCCGAGTTGAGGCTAACCCTGTATTCCCAGAAGGCCCATACCTTAAGTCTTATGGGAATACAGGGTTAGTCTCAACTCGGGGAAAATGCAAATTTTTAAGKCTATTGTAAAAACDAMATTTTYTCGTGCTCCCTTTTGTGTTTGGTCAGGTCTTTGCGCAAGAGAATCTGTAGTCAAATAAAGCAGCGGTTTTTCGCTATTAATTCGAAACTGGAGTATTCTACCATTCTTTGTGATTGTTTTTAATGATGTTTTCAGAAATTCTGGAGATTTATAATGCAAAGAAACCTACCAACCAACTCACTAAACCAGCTCAAGTTCTGTGTTCTTGGACTGGGTGATTCATCATATGCAAAGTATGTTCATATACAGGGGGGGGGGGGGGGATCTATAAGTTGTTTTGGTCTGTCTGTTTGAATTATAAATGCAGATTGCATGAATATATTTCTATATGTAATTAAGCAGGACTCTTCCAAAAGAGGTGTGGGTGGAGGGAGGAACCACCTCTCCCCTC